GGGTATTCCTCGATCGCTGGGCGCGCTGCGATAGCTGCTGCTTGCGCGCTTGGATTCGGCCACCTTACGCCCCCTGAGTCCGCGCACCAGAGGTCCCTCTTGCGTGTGGCCAATGCTCCTCGCTCGCGTCATCCGCATCCTCAGCATCAGAAGCACGGCAGTTCGATTATGATGCAGGGGAGCACATGCTGCGACGTTTGGCACAGGATATTCGCGCTCAGCGCTTGGCGCGTATCACGCAGAAGCAATGGGACTGTGATGTACGAGGCAGCGGGATACACGTCTGACAGCGTGCAACAGAGAATAAACGAGCGAGCCGCGCGGCCAGAGTTTCGCTCGCACCTCGAAGCCCGACGGCCTCACAGGTCAGGGGCAGCACTGGGGGGTGCTGGGCTCAGCGGGGCTGCACCGACCCCCCAGCTGCCCGTCGATCGCCGATGTGGGGCCGCTTGCCCACCCCGCCCAGGACGGTGCGGATCCGCCATCGGGGGCCCGTCGTCGACGACTCTCCGACTCCAGCTCGACGCTTCGCCCCCCGAGCCGGCTCCCCCCCCCTTACAGTCGGACCGAGGCATGAGGCCGAGGCCGCTTCGGGGAGGGTGCCCTCAGGTTCTTCGTGCTCATGGGATGCTCTTGTGCACCCCGGGAAAGGGTACCCCTGGATGTGCTGTGCGTGTTGGCCGGCGGAGGGCTTCCTGCTCTCGAGGGGTGCTCTTCTGGCCCAAGTCCGACTGCAACGTTCCCCCTCAGCAGAGGGGACAGCAAGCGGGCGTGTCCGTTATCTCCCCTCCAAAAAACGTTCCCTCTCAGCAGAGGGGTCTGCTGGGAGCCGCCGCGGCGTCAGCTCCGACCGTGCCTTTCTCGTACCGCCGCCTCGAGGCGCCGGGCGGGGCTCCCGCGGCCGCTGCGCGCGCCGCGGCGGCGGCGGCGGCGGCGCCAGAGGCGAACGAGGCGGCCTCTGCCGCCGCAGACCTGCGCCGTCGTCGTCGTCGAGGCGGTCTCTGCCGCCGCGGAGCTGCGTCGTCGTCGTCGTCGTCGTCGTCGTCGTCGTCGTCGTCGTTGTCGTCGTCGTCGTCGTCGTCGTCGTCGTCGTCGCCGTCGCCGCCGCCGCCGCCGCCGCCGCCCGCCGCCGCCGCTGCGGTCGCCGTCGCCGCCGTTGCCGTCGCCGTCGCCGCCGTTGCCGTCGCCGCCGCCGTTGCCGTCGTTGTCGTCGTCGTCGTCGTCGTCGTCGTCGTCGTCGTCGTCGTCGTCGTCAGCGGCGGCGAGCATCGCGGTTCGAGGTGTCTGGGTGTTTTTTGATGTGTGTTCGGGCTTCTCGGAGGCTGGCCGTCGCCACGGCCGTCCAGCTCGTCAGCTTGCACCCTGGAAGAGGACTGGGGGTATGCGAGGGCCCGCACCTGCAGCGTCTTGACAGACCACGATGGAGGTTTCTGTGTTCTGCGACCGCCATAAGATCAGCTGGGGCTTCATTCGAAACTGACCCTTCGCTCTCTCGCGTGCGATGTGCGACGCTACCCACTCCTACCACTACTTCGCATCTTCGACGACAGAGCATCCATATTGCAATGGCAGGGAAGCATTACGTCTGTTCGCTATAGGCTAGAGGGAAGGGGTCGCTTTGGCCAGCGATCGCTGTGCTAGGTGACATATTGAGGGTATCTTGTAAGAGAGTATGGAGAGGAGATGGCGCCAGAGGGGGAGGGGGAGGAGGATGAGGATGAGGATGAGGAGGAGGAGGAGGTGGAGGAGGAGGAGGAGGATTGTCTCGGCTGTCTCTTTCGGTCACGAGCGGTCCGCCATCACCGTAACCCGTAGGGGAGCGCGGCCCCGTGAGTAGGGGGCGCCATCACGCAGCCTGAAGCGGGGTGGTAGATTACCCACGAGCCGATGGGGTGTGGGTCGTGATGCAAGCACCCGCACCGCGCCATATGAGTAGTAGTAGGAGGAGGAGGAGGAGGAGGAGGAGGAGGAGGAGAAGGAGGACGATGTTATTTCAGCTCTATGCACGCATCTCCTCAATTCCTGCCGAAGAGAAAACCAGAACCAGGAAGACCAGCCCCACGCCAGCTGAGGGAGATGACGCATGCCGAGGAGAATGACGGCGCCTGCGAGCGTGAGAACGAGGCCCTCGGCGAAGACCCGCACATCCGTGACGGAGGAGACGCCCGAGCCCAGGAGGCAGAGTCCAGAGCATGTCACATACAAGGTCAGGAACGCCTCTGTGAAACAAGAGCCCAGGAAGCAGAGGCCGCAGCGTGCCGCATTCAAATTCCAGAGAGACGCCAAACCGCGCAAGTCAAGAGCAACTATCGGAGGTTGTAAGTAGTGCGCTCTAACCGAAGGAAACCGGGCGGGCGTCCCACGGGCACCCGCGAAAGGCGGTCCGATCACGGAAGTGGCAGGCCGACGCCAAGGGCAGCCATCCCCCCCCGGGGGCCATTCGGCCGTGCCGCCGCTGCAAGCTGCACCGCCAGTGCTAGCCTTTGCGTCGATGGAAGCTGCCAGCTCTACCGATTGCACTGCACGAGGTCCAGCAGCCAGACGAACTTCACAACCACGGATGGTGCAAAGCGAACGTGCAGACTCCAGCTCGTCCTGGCGCATGCCGTCCAAGTTGGTCTCGGCGCCTACCGCACCGCCAAGACGACACCCTCAAGGGGCGCCCGAACGCCAGGCGCGATGACCGAGGGCAGGGGCGAATAGGACTTCACGCCCTCGCCCACGAGCCAGCGGCCAGGCCCAGTCCAGCCTGACGGATACTCCGGGGCACCCGGCCACCGCGCTCAGGAACGAGCCTCTCCCGACCAGATCTCCAGCAGGTCCTGCGCGGGCCTCGCGGCGCCTGTGGCGGCGTCGGCCAGCACTGACTCTGGAGGCGGTGGAGCTGGAGCTCCGTCTCGGAGATGCCGAATTCGTGGGCAGCCCGATTCCTGCGCGCGACGATGTCAGAGGGCACCGGCGCGCTTGCGACGCCTGCTGCCAAGACGGGCTCGACGAGCCGAATACGACCAGCAGCCCCGTCGCCCCCGTGCGGGACCTCTGCGAGCTCGGCGGCGCGCCCAGGGGGGAAGTGAAGAGGAGAAGGCCTTCTTAAAAGGCGGCGAAACTTCACAGAAGCCCTCGCGCCTTCTGAGAGGTTTTCTGTGCCTTCGGGGAAGGTCCCGACAATCTCTCAGAAGGACAGGGTACTCACGAGCCTTCTGAGACGGTCCGCCCCTTCTCACTTCCCCCCCTCGCTCGCCGCCGACGAGCGCACCCGGCTCCTCTCGCAGCTCCGCCGCGTTGGCCAAGGCCTTTGCCAGCTGGCGCTGCAGCCGTCGGATCGCCTCGTCCGCTGAGGCCGCTGCCGCGGCCAGGGCAGCACTCCGCGCCGCAGGCGAGCGAATGTTCCGCTCGCGGCGGTCAGAACCGGCTGCCGCTCGCACCGCCAGCCTCAGACTTCCAGCCCCGAGCGCCACACGCCGCTTAGGAACATGGCAATCCAGGGGGGGTGATGGAGGAGGAGGGGGAGGAGGAGAAGGGGGAGGAGGAGGAGGAGGAGGAGGAGGAGGAGGAGGAGGAGGAGGAGGAGGAGGAGGAGGAGGGGGAGGAGGGAGGAGGAGGAGGAGGAGGAGGAGGGAGGAGGAGGAGGAGGAGGAGGAGGAGGAGGAGGGAGGAGGAGGAGGAGGAGGAGGAGGAGGAGGAGGAGGAGGAGGAGGAGGAGGAGGAGGAGGAGGAGGAGGAGGAGGAGGGGGAGGGGGAGGGAGAGGGGAGGAGGAGGAGGAGGAGGAGGAGGGGAGGAGGAGGAGGCGGAGGCGGCGGAGGAGGAGGAGGAGGAGGAGGACCAGTGTAACCCCAAGACTCATCAACGGTGTTGGAATACACCCTCCCTCCAAGCTCTTTCTCCAGAGGCCCCATACATATTTTTATTTTCACTGAGAGAAGTGCGCCTTGGGGGGACAATCGTGTGAAGATGTTGACGCGTGCCAAGGCACCATTCTCAGGACTTCAACGCCACGAGTCAACCTGACTTGCGTCTTGACGATCCTGAAACGTGCCAGAACACCAGTCCTGGGATTTCAAATCCGCGACTCAGCGTAACTGTTGCGCCTTGACAGCCCAACATCGTTCCAAAACACCATTTCTGGAATTTCAGCTATGCGAACCAGCGAAACTCTTCATGCGTTTTTGGGGAACGAGTGTGCGCGGCGCTAAAGCGAGAGCCATGTTTTGAAAACCACCTCTTCTCAATCCGTGGAGTTCTTGCAATTGTTGAAACAAATGTGCGCGGCGGTTCGGCGAGAGCCACATTTTGAAAGCGACCCGCTCTCCGTTTGTGAAGCCGTTGCCAGTTTTGAGCTTCAGGCGCATAATGGTAAGGACATCTCAGGTGAAACGCCTGGTCCTCCGCCCTTCTGACTGGCCTCGGGGTATGACAGGGAGGAGTTATTCATAAGGAAAATGAATGGAGGAGGAAGAGGAGGAGGAGGAGGAGGAGGAGGAGGAGGAGGAGGAGGAGGAGGAGGAGGAGGAGGAGGAGGAGGAGGAGGAGGAGGAGGAGGAGAAGGGGGCGGACGGTGGGGACAGGAGGGGGAGGGGGAGCAGGACAGGGGAGGACAATAAACGAACGAGCTCACCTCCCAGCATGCATTGGCAGCGTCCTCTGTTTCCTCACCCTGGATGCTCCGAGGATCCTGTCGGGGCTCTCCGCCCAGCCGACAGGGGAGTTCATATTTATATATATATATATGTGTGTTTATTGACATGAAAGCCATTAGTTTTAGATGTGCGGCGATGAGTCAAAACGCAGCGCAACAGTCGCGGACTCTGATCTCAGCGAGAGTGCCCAGCGCAGCACACACTATTATCTGATGCAGCGCCCGCAAAGAAATGCAACAGTAATCGAGTGGAACAGCGGGGAAGTTGCTTGTTCGGGCCAACATATCACGGGTCGCCCATTCTCCGATGCGTTCGCGTAGCTGGTGGCGGGCCCAACGACCATCGAAAGCAGAACCTTCCCCTGTCTGAACCTGAAGGGGAATGGAGTCAGCAGGAGAAAAAGCTCAGCCCAGTCCACGTTGAGGGTTGCAAGCGTGCCCATGAGATCGCAAGGATGCCTGGCTGGAAGTGGAACGCTCCCCTGTCCATGATTATGGCCGCCCTGTCGGTGGACGAGGTCGACGCTTACCTCGTCGAGCGCCTGCAAAAAAACTGCTCTTGAGGGATGAGCGTGGCCCCAGGGTGACGCGGATCCCAGGCCACGAGGGCAGGAGGATGAGGACGAGGATGAGTATGAGGACGATGAGGATGGTGATGATGATGAGGATGATGATGATGAGGAGGATGAGGATGAGGATGACGATGATAATGAGGATGATGAGGATGATGAGGATGGTGAGGATGATGAGGCTGATGAGGATAATGAGGATGATGATGATCCTGAGGATGATGATGATGCTGATGCTGATGATGCTGCTGCTGCTGCTGATGCTGATGATGATGATGATGATGATGATGATGATGATGATGATGATGATGATGATGATGATGATGATGCTGGCGACGACTACGACGATGATGATGAGGAGTTGGAGGAGGACGAGGAGGAGGAGGACGAGGAGGAGGAGGAGGAGGAGGAGGAGGGAGAGGATGAGGAGGAGGAGAAGGACGAAGGGGAGAAGGAGGAGAAGGAGGAGGAGAAGGAGGAGGAGGAAGAGGAGGGCACCCTGTCAGCAGGGCTGTCCCGACTACTAGGACGGGTAGCGCCCAATTGGTGATGTCGAGGAACCCCTCTTCAAGTGCAGACTGGTGCTCACTCGGGAAGGGCAGAAGAAACCGATTTCCATGCCCTTTGGCCGACAGCTGCAATGTCGGGAGAGGAGGGTGAGAGGATAAGGCAGGCAAGGCCAGCTGATGGAGAGGAGTGCCAGACCTTGACCACGTTCTCTCAGGCGGAATTTTTGGGAGGTCAGATTGTGACTTGGCCCTGGTCCGAAATGCGGCTGAATCCGGCTTAGTCCCGCTCGATCCGGCTTAATCCAGTTCAATCCAGCTTAATCCCGCTTAGTCCGCGGCCTAATTTGGCGTAGCAGCCCCCCAACGGGGCTGTATTCTTTTTAATCTTTCCGACGAAGACCTTCCAGTAGTTGCCTCCTAATGTTCGGCGGAGTTTTTTTCTCTGACGCATCGGCTGGAGAGAGAGAAAGAGAGAGAGAGGGGCGCTCGCTTTTCTGAAATCCTCTTTTCGCTGGCGTGCCTCCCTTCGCCGCTCGGAAGTTCGAGAGCTGCACTTGTCAGGGCTTGGGGCATAGCCTTCTCAGGAAGGCATGGCCTCTTCAAGAAAGGCATGACTGCCTCAAGCATGGCATCTTCAATAGAGGCATAGCTGCTTCAAGAATGTAGGGTTCAGTCGGGCCTGTCCCCCTACAGGAGGAAAATTCAAAATAGAGTCGAGAATAGTCAGGGGATGATTTTTGGAGTATTTAAATCCATTTTGGAGTATTGCTCGACTATTGTATATTTTTCGTCCAAAATCCCCCTGTAGGAGGACAGGCCCGACTTAAGAGTGTAGGAAGTGTGGGCCCCAGGGATCCGCCGCGAGGTGCCCGTCGCGGTGCTCTCCCTGCCCGGTCTGCTGGAGCTCGCTGGGACCTTCGAGGCGCGGCTGGGCGACCTTTGGGCCGAGCTGGCGGAGGCCACGGGCCCGGCAAGCCAACGACGACGGCGACGACGACGACGACGACGACGGTGACGACGACGACGACCACGACGAGGAGGAGGAGGAGGAGGACGACGACGACGATGCCGTCCCCCCACCTTCCTTCTCCTGAGCCCAAGGCCAGCCTGGGTTTATTTTTCAAAAGGGGGGATGCTTCGGAAGCTACCCCCCTTTTTTTCGCAGGTGAGATTGCCTTGCCAAGGGAGGGGGGTGCTTCAAAGCTACCCCCCCCCCTCCCTCCTTTTCCAGAGCCCAAGATTTGCCCGGGCTTCCCTTTCAAAGGGTGGGAGGTTCGGAAGCTACCCCCCTTTCCTTTTCGCAGCTGAGATCGGCCATCCGTTGGTTTTCAGTGGCTCTTTGGTTTTCGGCGCGTTACTGTTTTTTTTTGCGCTGTTTTGGTTTTCGGCGCCGCCATGGTTTTCGACGATCGTTAGGTAGTCGGCGTAGATTCTGATATTCCGCGCTCCCTCGTCAGTTTCCGGCGCCCTTTTTGGTGTTCGTCGTCTCTTTGGTTTTCGGCGTTCGGCTGCTTTTCGGCGCCGGTTGGGTGTCGTTGCACCTTTGCTTTTGGCGCTCTTTTGGTGTTCGGCGTCCTGTTGGTTTTCGGCGCCCTTTTGGTTGTCGTCGCCCTTTTGGGTTTTGGCGGTTCTTTGGGTTTCGGCGTCCCTTTGGTTTTCGGTTTCCTTAGATTTTCGGAGCTCTTTCGGCTTTCTGCGCTCTGTTTGTATTTGGCGCCTTCCAGGATTTTGGCGCCTCCTTGGTGTTCGTTTTTTTTGCTGCTGTGCGGTCTTTTGGATTTCGGCGCGTCTTTGGTTTTAGTCGCCTTTTGATTGTCAGGGGGCTTTTTGGGTTTCGGAGCCTTCCTTTAGCCACAGGTGGTTTTCGGGGCCGCTCCAGTATCCGGCGCACCTTTGGTTTTCGGCGTCGCTTTGGTTTTCGGCAATCTATGGATTCTTGGGGCATCGTTGGTTTTCGGGGTTCTTTTGGTTTTCGGTGTTCTTTTGGATTTTGGCGCTTTTTTTGTTTTCGGCGGTCCTTTGGGTTTTGGCGCCTCTTTGGTTCTCGGCGCGTTACTGTTTTTTTGCTCTGTTTTGGTTTTCGGCGCCGCCATGGTTTTCGACGATCGTTAGGTAGTCGGCGTAGATTCTGATATTCCGCGCTCCCTCGTCAGTTTCCGGCGCCCTTTTTGGTGTTCGTCGGCTCTTTGGTTTTCGGCGTTCGGTTGCTTTTCGGCGCCGGTTGGGTGTCGTTGCACCTTTGCTTTTGGCGCTCTTTTGGTGTTCGGCGTCCTGTTGGTTGTCGTCGCCCTTTTGGTTGTCGTCGCCCTTTTGGGTTTTGGCGGTTCTTTGGGTTTCGGCGTCCCTTTGGTTTTCGGTTTCCTTAGATTTTCGGAGCTCTTTCGGCTTTCTGCGCTCTGTTTGTATTTGGCGCCTTCCAGGATTTTGGCGCCTCCTTGGTGTTCGTTTTTTTTGCTGCTGTGCGGTCTTTTGGATTTCGGCGCGTCTTTGGTTTTAGTCGCCTTTTGATTGTCAGGGGGCTTTTTGGGTTTCGGAGCCTTCCTTTAGCCACAGGTGGTTTTCGGGGCCGCTCCAGTATCCGGCGCACCTTTGGTTTTCGGCGTCGCTTTGGTTTTCGGCAATCTATGGATTCTTGGGGCATCGTTGGTTTTCGGGGTTCTTTTGGTTTTCGGTGTTCTTTTGGATTTTGGCGCTTTTTTTGTTTTCGGCGGTCCTTTAGGTTTTGGCGCCTCTTTGGTTCTCGGCGTCCTTCATGTTTTTTGTTGGCGCTCTGTCGGAGTTCGGCGAATCGAAGGTTGTCGGTGTCTGATCGGTTTTTGGCGCCCTATTGGTTTTCCGCGCTCATTTGGTTCTCGGCGCTCCTTTGTTTTTTAGCGCATTTGTAGTCTTCCGCGCCGTCTTGGTTTCTTCGGCTTTCTTTTATTGATCTTCGGCGACTCTTGTTGTTTTCGGCGCTCTTTGTGTTTGCGGCGCTCCTTTGATTTTCGACGCCCTCTTGGTTGTCAGAGCATCTTTTGTTCTAGGCGTTCCTTTGGTTTGTGGCGCCGCTGTGGTTGTCGGCGCTCTTTTGATTTTCGGCGCGTTGCTGGTTCGTTGGTTCTCGGCGCTATTTTGGGTCTCGGCACCTTTTTGGTTTTCGGCGTTCCGATGGGTTTCAATCTTCTTGTGTTTCGGCCCATTTGGGTTCTCGGTGTGCTTTTGGTTTACGGCGCTTCTTTGGTTTTTGCCGCTTGTTTGGTTTTCGGCGCGCCATTGTTTTTCTGCGCATCCTTGGAGTGTGGCGACCTCTTGGTTGGTACCGCCCTTTGGGTTTCCGGCGCGCCTTTGGTCTTCGGCGCTTTCTTGGTTTTCGGCGCCCTTCTGGTTTCCGGCGCTCGTTTCGTTTTGGGTGTTTTTCCTAAACCATTATGTGGTGTTGGGTCCTCGTTCTGAAGAGACAGCGCCCCGCGTCCCGCCTCCTCCATTTTCCCCTCCTCCCCCTCGTCCCTCCTCCCATCCCTGCCTCGCGTCTCCGCATGTTCATCATCTCGGCACACCCCTCATACGTTTCGTGACCCTTATAGGGAGCTCCACCGAAGGCACCAGTGGCACCGCCCGCATGCGGCACCCACACCCAGTACAGCCCTTCGTGTCCCCATAGGGAGCTCCACCGAAGGCCCTAGTGGCACTGCCCGCATGCGTCACTCCCACCCAGTACAGCGTTTCGTGGCCCCATAGGGAGCTCCACCGAAGGCCCCAGTGGCACCGCCCGCATGCGTCACCCTTTCCCAGTACAGCGCTTCGTGGCCCCATAGGGAGCTCCACCGAAGTCCCCAGTGGCACCGCCCGCATGCGCTACCCCAGCCAGTACAGCTCTTCGTGGCCCCATAGGGAGCCCCACCGAAGGCTCCAGGGGTACCGCCTGCATGCGTCACCCCCATCCAGTACAGCGCTTCGTGGCCCCATAGGGAGCTCCATCGAAGTCCCCAGTGGCACCGCCCGCATCTGTCATCCCCACCCAGTGCAACGCTTCGTGGCCTCATAGGGAGCTCCACCGAAGGCCCCAGTGGCACCGCCCGCATCTGTCATCCCCACCCAGTGCAACGCTTCGTGGCCTCATAGGGAGCTCCACCGAAGGCCCCAGTGGCACCGCCCGCATGCGTCACCCTTTCCCAGTGCAGCGCTTCGTGGCCCCATAGGGAGCCCCACCGAAGGCTCCAGGGGTACCGCCTGCATGCGTCACCCCCATCCAGTACAGCGCTTCGTGGCCCCATAGGGAGCTCCATCGAAGTCCCCAGTGGCACCGCCCGCATCTGTCATCCCCACCCAGTACAGCGTTTCGTGGCATCATAGGGAGCTCCACCGAAGGCCCCAGTGGCACCGCCCGCATGCGTCACCCTTTCCCAGTACAGCGCTTCGTGTCCCCATAGGGAGCTCCACCGAAGGCCCTAGTGGCACCGCCCGCATGCGTCACTCCCACCCAGTACAGCGTTTCGTGGCCCCATAGGGAGCTCCACCGAAGGCCGCAGTGGCACCGCCCGCATGCGTCACCCATTCCCAGTACAGCGCTTCGTGGCCCCATAGGGAGCTCCACCGAAGTCCCCAGTGGCACCGCCCGCATGCGCTACCCCAGCCAGTACAGCGCTTCGTGGCCCCATAGGGAGCCCCACCGAAGGCTCCAGGGGTACCGCCTGCATGCGTCACCCCCATCCAGTACAGCGCTTCGTGGCCTCATAGGGAGCTCCATCGAAGTCCCCAGTGGCACCGCCCGCATCTGTCATCCCCACCCAGTGCAACGCTTCGTGGCCTCATAGGGAGCTCCACCGAAGGCTGCAGTTGCACCGCCCGCGTGAGTCACTCCCACCCAGTACAGCGCTTCGTGGCCCCAGAGGAAGCTCCACCGAAGGCCGCAGTGGCACCGCCCGCATGCGTCACCCTCACCCAGTACAGCGCTTCGTGGCCCCATAGGGAGCTCCACCGAAGGCCCCAGTGGCACCGCCAGCATGCGCCACCCCCACACAGTACAATGCTTCGTGGCCCCATGGGGGGCTCCACCGAAGGCCGCAGTGGCAACGCCCGCATGCGACACCCACACCCAGTACAGCGTTTCGTGGAAGGCCCGAGTGTCACCGCCCGCACGCATTATCCCCACCCCAAAAAGCGTTTTATGGTCCCATAGGGAGCTCCACCGAAGGCCCCAGTGGCTGCACTCGCATGCGGTTCTTCCACCTAGTACAACGTTTCATTGCCCATAAGGACCTCCACCGAAGGCTCCAGTTGAGATGTTCGCATGCGTTTCCCCCATCCATCAGAGCGTTTCATGGCCCCATAGGGAGCTCCACCGACGGCCCCAGTGGCGGTGTTCGCATGCTTCCCCCCCGCCCAGCACAGCGCTTCGCGGTCCCATGGGGAGCTTCACTGGAGGCCCCAGTGGCTGTAATCGCATGCGCTTCCCCCACCAAGGACAGCGATGCCCCGTAGGGAGCTCCACCGAAGGCCCCAGTGGCGGCCCCGCCCCATTGCGGCGCACCCCTCGCACTTTTCGCGGCCCAGTAGTGCGTCCCGCCTAAAGCACCAATGGCAGCGCCCAGATGGCGGCCCCGTCGCACATCGGCACGCCCTTCGCATGCTTCATGGCCCCATGAGGAGATCCCCCGAAGGCGATACCCGCAACGAGCAACGACGGTTCTCGCAACTGCAAATGGTTGGGTCCTTCACCAGGATAATTGTCGGTGGCACTTCTTTCGGTTTTCGTGCTCCTTTGGGCTTCCGCGCTCTGTGATTCCCCGCGATTTTTTGTTTCGGGGCAGCGTTGGATTTCGCAGTTCTGTCGGTATTCTGCGCCTGTTGGGGGTAGGGGGGAGCTTCGCTTCCGAGCAGCAGAAAAAATGAAAGGGGGGCGGGGGGCCTTCTGGCAGGGGAGGTCCAAGGGGGGGAGGTAGCTAAGCCCCCCCCCGCCCCCCCTTTGGGAAAGGGAGGGGGGGGGGTAGCTTCCGGATTGTGAGAGGAGGGGGGGGGTAGCTTCCGAGGGGCGGAAAACATGGGGGGGGGTCTTTTGGCAGGAGAGGTTCGAGGGGTGGGGGTCAGCTAAGCCTCCCCCCCGGTGGGAAAGGAAGGGGGGGCATTTTCCGGAGCGCAAAGGGGGGGGGGTAGCATCCGAGCGGCGAGAAAACAGGAGGGGGGGGGGGGTCCGGCAGGGGAGGTGCAAGGGGAGGGGGGGGGGGTATCTAAGCCCTCCCCCCTTTGGAAAAGGAGGGAGGGAGCGGGGGGGGCTAGCCTCCAGAGCTCGAAAGGGAAGGGGGGGGGTATCTTCCGTGGGGCGAGCGAAAAGGAGGGGGGCCTAGCGTGGGGCGGGCGAGCGTGGGGGCAGGGCAGGTCCAAGGGGGCGGGGAGCTACGGGGGGACCCCCCTCCTTTGGGAGTCACGGGCGCGCTCTCTCGTCCCTGCGCAGGTACGCTCGTACTCAGATGCGGTCATATTCATACTCTCATACTCGTACGCATTCAGAGTCACTCACACTCAGGCTCACTCGTGCTCAGACTCACCCACACAGGCCACTCACACCCAGGCTCGCTTCACAGTCGTCTTGGGAGGATGTCTCGAGCGAGACGCTGCCTTCAGTAGTCCAGGGTGGAACCTCAAGGGCGTTATAACATTTGCCCGATCACGCGCAGATTATGGGGATGTCTCAGGAGGTTTGCCTGTGTGGTGGCTTGGGCTTGGGTTCTTTCAGAACAGATTGCGAGGATGTCTTGAGCGAGGCGCTGGTGTCAGCAGCCAACAGGGGGTGCCGCCAGGGAGTCGGACATCTGCCTGTGCGCGCCCAGATTGTGGGGATGTCTCGTGCGGTTTGCTTGTTCGGTGGCTTGGACTCGGGTGCTTTCAGAGCAGATTGCGGAGAAATTTTGAGCGAGGCGCTGGTCTCAACTCCCCAGGAAAGAACCGCCAGGGGGTATGACATGCGTCCGTGCGCGCCCACATTGTGGCGATGTCTCAGGCGGTTTGCCTGCGTGGTGCCTTGGACTTGGTTCTTTCAAGCAGGTCGTGATGATATCTCGAGCGAGGCGCTGTTTTGAGCACCCCAGGCGACCATCTCGTGGGAATGTATTCAGCGAGGCGCTCCGTTTTGCACCTCCGTTTCCTGTCCGTTCAGAGCCCCATGATCACGCCGATGTGAGCAGAAGGACGGCAGGAGGGAGGACGCAGGAGGAACGAGGAGGACGCAGGAAGAGGGAGACGGGAGGAGGGAGGAAGAGAAGGGAGGGGGGTACGTCGAATAGTATGAGGAAGGGGAGGGGAGGTTGCTTGCCAACCGCCCGACTGCCTGTGAGTTGTGAATTGTGGCGTCGCTGGCCCTCAGCATGGCCGCCGCCGTCGTCGTCATCGTACTTGTCGTCCGCTCGGACTCGTTCTCACACCCAGACGCTCACGTCCAGACGCTCACAGCGGGACGTGCGAGGAACTGCGATGCATTTGAGATGCGCATCTGGGGACCCCCTCGTCGAGTCGTTTCTTCTCCCAGCGAGAGGGGGGCCTAGGTCCCACCCCCGCCTCCTCCTCCTCCTCCTCCTCCTCCTCCTCCTCCTCCTCCTCCGCCTCCTCCTACTACTCCTATGACCAGAGGTTGGCAGTGCGCACAACAAGGGGGGTGCCGCGAAGGGGGCGGCTTGCTAGAAGGCGGAGCGCTTCTAAGAAGGTTTGGGGCCTTTTGGGAGCCTTTTCGAGCCTTCCCAGAAGCCCTGGGGCCCTTCAAAAAGGCCCCAGCCTTCCGAAGTCGTGCTTCTTCGCGATGTAGCCCCTCACAGAGCTGGACCCATTTCCCAGGACCAGTTTTTCGTCCCGACTCGTTCTTTTGGCGGTCCCCTGGGGCCGGTGAGGGCCCCCGAAGGCCGAACGTGACCCAAAGCATCCGGTCGCGATTTCTTTACGACGCCCGGACGTTTTTGGCCCCCTCGTCGCGCGCCGCCAGAGTCGAGATAGATCCGTTCCAGAGCTTTCTGGAACGCCCTCAGAGCGTTCCTGAATGCTCCGGAGCGGCCGCGGCGCCAGATACATCCCTGCAAGCCCGCTGATCTTCATAAATTTCCGATGTGTATAGGACCGATCTTGCCTCGATTCTGCCTTCGTCTTACATGGTGGACATCTGATCCTGGCCCCCCAAACATCTAAGGTCGTGGTACAAAAACCGAGGCGGAGGCTTTTCGCCGCTTGCGGCCTCCAGGGGCCCTCGCCGGGCCCCCAGACCGCCAAGAAACGGCTCAGGATGAAGAGCCGGTCCTGGGGGGAGGTAAGGGGCAACGATAAGGGGGGGGGGCATGTGCACAGCGGGGGATGCATCGACCCCCAAGCATATGGGGAGACGTATCGGGGGGTGGATGCATAGAGGGATATGCACAGGGGGGATATGCATAGGGGAAGATGCATAAGGGGGATGCGTAGGGATCGCCTTCGTCTTACAGAGGGCGGCCCTGCCCGTCAGGTGGCCGACATCTGGAACGCGGCCGTCGACGCCCACTCGTCGGACGGGGAGAAGGCTGCGGCCGTCGAGATCCCCGAGGAACTGGGCCGGCGTCGTCGTCGCCGTCGCCGTCGCCGTCGCCGTTGCGTCATCGTCGCCGTTGCGTCATCGTCGTCGTCGTCGTCGTCGCCGTCGTCGTCGTCGTCGTCGTCGTCGTCGTCGTCGTCGTCGTCGTCGTCGTCGTCGTTGTCGTTGTCGTCGTCTTCGTCGTCGTTGTCGTCGTCGTCGTCGTCGTCGTCGTCGTCGTCGTCGTCGGCGGCGTCGTCGTCGTTTTCGTCGTCGTCACTGGACATCCAGCGTGTTTGAAAAGCTCACGACAGAGGCTTGTCGCCGTTTCAGACCTCTAGGGGCTCTCGCCAGGCCCCGGGACTGCCAAAAAACATCTCACGATGACAGTCAGTCCCTGGGGAAGGGTCGAGAATTCTGGGGACCCTTTGTTGAAAAAATCAAGACGTTGCATCTCTGGGTAGTCGTCGTCGTCGTTGTCGTCGTCGCCGCCGTCGCCGTTTTTGTCGCCGTCGCCGTCGCCTTCGCCGCCGCCGCCGCCGTCGTCGTCGCCGTCGCCGTCGCCGTCGCCGTCGTCGTCGTCGTCGTCGCCGCCGCCGTCGTCGTCGTCGCCGTCGCCGTCGCCGTCGCCGTCGTCGACGTCGTCGTCGCCGCCGTCGTCGTCGTCGTCGTCGTCGAGGTTGTCGTCGTCTTTGTTGTCCTTGTCGTCGTCGTCGTCGTCGTCGTCGTCGCCACTGGACATCCAGCGTGTTTGAAAAGCTTACGACAGAGGCTTGTCGCCG